GAGTTAGACATTGGTACTAGAGATGGAGATATTATGATCAATACGCTCATTAAGGTCACATTTGTACTATCATTCCTCTACTAATTTTTCGATTACTATTGATCGAGAGGATTTATGCGAAACATAGGGAGATTTGCATAGTGCCTAGACATATTATTTGGAGAGTCTACCACATGATTTCATTTCTACATACAAGTCGAATGTTTCGACTTATACATTGGCGGGGGAATTTAGCTATTGCTCATCTATTCGGTATCTCAATTACCCTCCATCCCTCCCTTCCCCATCACCCCTTATATTGGTCCTTTGGCACGCTTTACTAGTGAGATCTTACAAGATCAACATTGATGGATGCGTCAAAGAAGAATTTGCTAGTAGTAGAGATATTATACGGGATTAGGCTAGACAGCGTATCAGAACATTCTATACTTCCTATGGTGCTTGTCCTATTCTAGAGGCTGAGCTTCGAGCCATTTTGGATGGTATTCTTCTTGCTAGACAACTTGGGATTTCAGATATTTGGACTAAGGAGGACTCGATTGTGGCTATTCACTACATTAATAGGGGTGGAGGACCATGGGCGAGGTACTCTCAAACATATTAGACACTTCCTCTCTTTTGATTATGATACTATCTCCCACATCTACCATGGGGGGAACCATGTTGTAGATTCACTTGCTCCAAAGGGCTAGGACCATCGTCACTACGAAGAGTATGGTCCACATGACCTTCCACGATAGCTCAAGGCATTTGTGTAGATTGATCTATATGAATTGCCTAGCTTTAGAGGTTTATAGTTTAGGAATCATTTGCTTACATTGTTCAGGGAGTAGTACTCTTCATTTAGTGCATTTACTACATTTATTGCTTTCTAAAGGTTAGGTTTTTGTCCCCCTCCTTCCTTGAACTTTTATTTTTTAATGATATACAGGGTTGAAAAATCGTGACCCTCTTCAACCTTCTTTAGTAGAGCTTAAAAACTCACTAAGGATGTATATTTGTCTTTGAGTAAAAAAAAACATTTATTTTTTAGAACTTTATAATCAAAATTCTTGTTATTTCAGAATTTTATTTTTTAAACAATTATTATTTTTATAATTTTAATTTTTTCGAATTTAATGTTTTTTAGAATTATAGTTTTTTAGTTTTAATTTGAATTTTATTATAATTTTGAATGTTTTTACTCAAAACACTTTTGAGTATTATGTTATGAATTTAACCTCATTTTAAAAAATGCATTTTCAAAAATATCAGACAAAACAAACTTCGAGTGTTTTAAAAATATCTTGAAACATCAAATCAAACACACTCTAAAATATCCGAAGGGAACACTATAATACATCCAAGTGGAATAAACCATCACCCCCTTGTAGAAGTCGGGCTATTCAACATAATCAAATGACTTTTTTGGCGGATACAAATCCATTAGAATACACAATGAGGACACCATTAAATCTTATTCTTTTTCATTAATTATATGGTATAAATTTTCATGAAAGACGTAAGCAAAAGGGCAATGTTAAGATTCTTCTATACCCAAAATGGGGAAAAAATATTGCTTCTAGATAATGTGAAGTGGTAGACAGAATTGAGTGCTATGGTCGGCCTAAGTGTTAATAAATTACCAGGAAATGGAAATTGTTACCAAATCATATAAACTGAATCCAAAAATAGATGAATAATGCTATGTGTACACCTTGTGGTGTACACAATTACACCCCCCCCCCCCACCCCACATGGAGGGGGGTCCACAAATATTTTATTGTGTGTGGGCTCACCTCCATGTGAGGGAGGTGTGAAACATTGTGTACACATAGAATTTTACCAATTTTATTTTTTTTCTTCAACTGGGTTCTCGATTAACTGAAAGAGGGTACTTTTTAAAAAATGGTATGCAGCATGCTAAAACTAATGCATATGCCTTCTTGTCATATTAAATTATGGAAAATAAAGTTTCACACCCCCCTCACATGGAGGGGGGCCCACAAATATTTTATTGTGTGTGGGCTCCCCTCCATGTGAGGGGGGTGTAAAAGATTGTGTACACATAGCACAATCCAAAATAGATTAGGTGACATGGACCCATCCCAATGAAAGTGGTTCTCAAGGGTTGCTAGAAAGGGTTAAAAATGATAAAGAAGAAATGACTAACTTGGATGAAAAAGGGATGGCTTAAGATAGAATATTGCTGAAGTCTAAATACTTTAATTATCTTACTGGATCCTTTTGGGATCCAACTTTCAGTTTTATACAGAAAGAAAAGAGAACGTGCACGAAATGTGGTGCTAATAACTTGTAAAAATATGACTTGGAAATTTCCATCTCTAGAATATGCCCCCAACTTAGTGTTGGGATAGGATTACATATAGTTATAAGAAGAGGATGCTATCAAGCGATCATTGAAGTGATCATATAGAATTAATCGAAAAAATATTTCCATATATCTAACGAGTTAGAATAATTTGAACCATAAATATATCTCGTCTTTTTACTTTGAACGAAGAGGAAAGGGGAACAATATTAAAGAAAAAGAAAGTCAAAATCTTGTTCGCTATCATTTCTTTAGTGAATACATACTTCTAAAGTCTGCAACAATCCCACAAAATTAAAATATCCAACGTAGCTCCACCAAACTTGTCATGTTTGTTCCTAGAACATCTTTAATGATACTAAGGCCACTAACGTTATTTTAAAAGTGTGTGTCAAACTCCATCATGTGAACATACGAAATCACTTAAAGAAAATGAAGTTATGATAGAAGTAACATCACATAAAGACCCCCTCAGTCACCAAGCCACGAGGGTACTTCGACCAAGAAAATGACTTGTACTACCAGTTGAGCATAATAACTATTTCAATGCATGGACAACCACCTTAGACAAGAGAAACACTTCTACTAGTACAACTCAGATTATTTGCCATTTGGTCTCAACCTCAACCAAGCAATAGGTAGTAGTAACACTCAAAATTCTAACTCCCCTTTAGCAAAACTTCTCCCAATATTGTTACCTTGGTCATTCTTTTATGAAAAATCAATTATATCAATTGAATTCTTTTCATCTCTCTTGTACAAGTCAACTTCTTAACCTAATTTCCTAAGCTCAGTTGACTGTTGAATCGGTAGCGCAGTGATGGAAGTGTGTACTGATCCACAAATCTTCAAGTCCAATTCCTCGCGATAGCACCACGATATTCACATCTCCTTCACGTGACTACTCATAGCTCAAAACCCTATATTAAAGTGATAAACTGAACCCAAGAATATGAAATTGTAGTGTAAAATATTGGACTATTGAGGTTTATGGACAACATTCTAATTGGGATTGAAGTTGTGAGACTACTCAAATCTCATTCTATAAGATTTCATATATGACCAGATTCAATCAGCCCACTATGAATGCACTAATTGGTTCACACATGGCCCAAAGTCCAACATTCTGTATCGAGATGGTATTACTTAAGAATTAGTTTGAACAAATATAACTTCATTTCATACATCGCTTAGTAGATTATTTCACCAAGCGCCACAGTGATACATAACAGGAAGTTAAGCAGTCAATACACATGGTCATGACAATGAATGTGTATATAAACGATCATAATTTCAGCCTCATAAGAATTCCACTTACTCCTCGAATACCTAAAATACAGATGATCAAAGCAAATTCGAAAGGATGTATTTCGTATAAGCTCACCATATGCTAATGCAAGAATGAGACATTTATCTCTTAATGAACAACGCAGGTTCCAAGACAGAATAACATCTAACAAGATAAGCACTATTTATAAAATAATTTGAAGGATATCACAACAAAGCTAAAGATAATCTAGTTAAGAAGATATGAGAGTGCATAGATGAAATGCCTCGAGTTTTCAACATCTTATAACAAGTTGGAGTTGTTCATAGCATGGAGAATTCAAAGATTACATAAATGCATAAAAGAGGTTATTTATTTGGATCTGAAGCTAAATGGGTCTGATTTTCATGTCGGAAAGCTAGGATGTTACAAGCATGTAATAAATCAACCAGAACTCTATCATCTTCCACTACTAATTCTTCTATTAAAATGTCATTGTGATAATAAGGAGTTTACAAAGTTATCAAATTTAGCTTTGAACACAAGTGCCTCAGAGTAAAAGCAGCCAAGAATATAATGATATATGCTTTCCAAAGATTATATTAGATGGAAGGCCACAATGGTAATGGTATTCTTCTTGGTGTTTAAATCCAGATAAATCAGAATAGTGATGAAGTTGAAAATAGAGATTAGGTAAAAATATAATAAAAGGATGCGGGAGGTTAAAAGCACAAACAACCTTACTACAAATACCATGCAGAAGTACAAAACTGCAGATAATTTTCCGGTCATGAAAAACCAGGTAAATCAACTTATATTTGATGAAGCATATCTTAAGTTCGTAGGCCAATAACTGATACAATGCACTAGGAAGAAAACGCCACCATTGACCTCAACAGAAACTGCATTCATCAAATTGAATTCTTTATTGTGTCCGTGAATGATTATGTTGTTCAAAGAAATACTAGACTCCACTAAAATATTGCCAAAAATATCACACAGTGGTAACTGGTGAATGGCTACGGTAATCAAATGAAGTGCAGAAAATGGATACATTCATCAAATGGTTCAATGAAATAAACTACCTAAGTAGGAAGACTTGGAGAGAAGGTTTTCAATATAAAGTCGACAACCAAGAGTCTGGGTCTACACATGCAATTCTATGAAAAATGGCGAGGAGGACCATAAACACAATATTTTGTCATTTTGGAATATGATCATACTGCAAAGAGAAGTGCTGTATGGAAATCTTTCAAATTGCATCGTGTCCAAATTGATATATTTGGAGCCAAAATGCCCTAAATTATATGAAAAGGTATATTCACACAACATTTCTCGTAATTCTACAGTTCAATCACCCTAGCTAGTACAAAATGCAGGTTAAAGTTACACTCGCGGCATGAGAATAAAAGTAAATGAAACTTATTCTTTATCATTCACGATAAGCAAAACCTCAGCTCCAGTGGACATTACACTGTCCAAGAACTCCCTAATTTCCTCAGCATTTTCAAAACAATAAGGAGCAGAAAGATCACTATCCAAATTGTACCAGACTCCTTCAATCCTTCTCAATGCAACCCAATGCCTACCTTTCCATAGGCCAGCATACCTTCTTACTGGAACATTAACTATAATACCGAACAATTCATCCTTCAACCCATCTAGATCAATTGGAGATGTCCCGTTTCGGCGATCATGCCATATTACCCTTTTCCCTCTTTCTTCAAGAGCAGCAATTAAAACGTTAATATCATAATTTCCTGTAAGAGAATTATGATGAGGCTTAAAGATCACAGACATAGGAGTCCAGGTTGCCTTGTTTGGATCATCGAAGTTCAGTTTTTCAGCAGTGGCATTCAAATTTGCTCGAGTAAATGCATCTTTCTCCTGAATTATAATACAGAATTGGTCAAATAATTTATAAAGTCATGAGTAATTACACACAAGTTGAAACTTAGCCAAGATATGAAAATACATAAAAGACTGAAAATCCTCTAATTGTTCTCCTGCAAATTAGGTTCAGAAAAACTAAAATTTAATTTTCGCTCTGCAAGATTATCAATATTTTTGTAACAAAACATTGGATAGAACTCACCCTTAAAACCGACTTGTAAAAAAAGGGTGTCCAACTAGTTATAAATCTCAAACGAAGAAGCTAAGTCTTCTACAATTAGGTCACTATATTCCACCTTCTTTTCAAAACCGACATCCAGAGTGACTCATATCTCCATATTGCCAGCTCTCTAGGACTCCCCATATGCAACGAGGGGGTCAGAGCCTAAAGGGTATATACTCTTATACCTATTGTAATTTGAAACAACGCATTGGGCAGAAGTAACTCTTCAAGCCGGCCTGAATGAGAAGGTGTCCAATTGGTATAAACCACAAACTAAACCTTGACTTAGCACCAAAAAAATAAAAAAAATAAAAAGACAGGTGATTATTATAAACTTATTCTACTAGTAAGGGGAACTAATCTCTATCAATCAATGTACACATACAAAATTATAAGGAACAATCAGTTAAATTAAGTTCACCTGGAAGAGATTGTTGAGGGAGTGCAACAAGCAAAATTGTAATTTTTGCCTCTCATGGTATATCAATTTCCTTTCGCTCTTCATCTTCAACCTCGAAGAACCCTAGAAATTATACTTGCGAGACAGAACCAAAAAAATTCTACTTGGCAGTTAGGGATTCTCAAATCTATTGAAAATGCAGGCGAAGAATATAAATTTATACATGGATTTGGGGAATTATAAGAATATAAATCTATTGAGAAGGCAGGGATTTGACTTTCTCAAATCTATTGCAGAAAATATGATTTAGTCGATTTTTTTAAATAAATAAAATGAAAGAAAAAGAAAGGAAAAAAATAATTTCCCCCTCTTTTATGTAAGCACTAGTTTATTGCCCGTACAATGCACGGGTTATGTTATATTGAAGGTAATGTTAGCGGTAAGTTTGTATCTATACTTTGTTGTTTAGCAATAAAGATGTGCATAGAATGATCTCAGTTTTCAATAACAGCAAAACAAATTAACATAATAGAACTGAAAAATTGTTATATATTTTTTCATAATTTATTTATTTGTTTATTGTTGTTATGCCAATAGTTTGCCACTTCGAAACGAGAACTGACCTGCCCGGTCAAGTCGCTGGGATCTATCCCTCGTGGGGGCTCGGGGGCAACGCCCTTAAAAGGGAATTTTGATTTTTGTGTATGTGTTGAAAAATTGTGATTTATATGCATTGGAGTGTATTCAGAATCTTATATTCCATATAATTTCTAATTTTTTAAGATTCCTACAAAAATAATATTACATGAATGAAAAAACACATTGAAGTAGAGAAAATCTGAATAGTTTAAAGACGTTTTCAACTATACTGATGAATGAATGAAATCTTTATCTGATGTTCTTTGTGCGTTATAACAGACAAATGGTGCTGCATGGAGAGCGGAGACAGCTCTAATGTGGAGACATGCTCCACGTCACGGAGAGAAGAGGAAGAAGGTGCGATGCACTGTTGAAGTTACTGTTCTACAATACCTTCTCGATTCATTTTTGCAAAGACAATAGATCCAAACCCTATAGATGCTTATGAATGTTAAGTAACATGCTTCGACACGTAAATCTTATTTTTATTATACATAAATCAATTCGAAAAATTAAAGACAGAAGTATTGTTCATGAATTTCTTTTCATTACTAATGAATAAACTCTTATTTATTTTGTTTCTGAATGGAAAACATGCGGAAGTGAATAGTAAGAACTTCCTCTTATTTTGCCATCATCTTCTAATTGAAATCATAATTTCTTGCACATAAACTTATTTTTCCAAAGAATAGACTCAAACAAACCCTTAATATCACACCGACCAACTCTTTCAATATCTTATGCTATAGGACCGATGTCACAAGTGAAACTGGACTGCAAACTTAGATCGAACTATAGAAACTAACTAAGAAATTAATGGAATTCTCAAACTTGACCACTGACGACGATTATAGATGGTAGGGCATTCCAAAGAGTAGGTAAGTCGTTATCTTCTCCATTATCTACAAGTACAGTGCAAGTTCTCTACAGTTCGTTTACCAAAGATATCAAACTTTCAATTACTGTTCCTCGCGATCTTCCTATACTTGCGGTGGGGAATTCGAAAATCGCAAAATATACGATTTAGTATTGAATTGTAACCTCCGTTAACCTGCTAGCAAAGATGAAATTGATGTTGTCGGTCTGAAGTGGAGAGCTCGTGAAAGAAGTTGTCGTTTCCTCCTTTTTTTCTCTTCCAAGAAGCAAGCAGAGATTCAAAGCCAACGATTGTGGGTATGGGTAGGACGAAGTCTATATTACTCTTGAAACTTGGATGAATAGTGGAGAATGGATAAAATCTAATAAAAAAGCTTCACAAATGAACAGTAAACGGTGGATTACCTCTTTTAAGATAGTAAGGATTATTCAACTACTAATAAATTAAGGATAAGAATCTTGTCCAAACCTTTTATACTTGGCATAGATGGTTCCAACATTTTGTACTATTGGCATAAATAGTCCTTTTGTATAAATTTCATCCAAAATGATCGTTAGTTTTGTTCGTTGGATGTAAGTCCCTTATTTTTCCTCTATTTGAAAGGTACATCCGTTAAAGGACTTTGTCAGTTCACCATCGTTAATGCAACCCATCTACTTATCGTGGATGTAAAGATACATTGTTCGAACTTTTGAACTCCAATATAATTATGTGAGAAGAAATATGTTCCTAAAGACAAATAAAAGGAAGTTTCTTTGTAAGATATGGTTTTGATATTTATTTGCGTTAAGTTTATTAGGTATCGTAATCTTTATCGTACTCCCCTTATCAATTAATGAAAATATTTTTTTTTTTTGTCAGCTTCATATTCGCCTTTGAAGTAGAACAATTGTGGGAGTTAGACCAATTTAGAGAGAGATATGAACTTCGTAACTTACTTTCAGTGAGCGATTGATCCTAAACTTGTTGATGTTGGTGCATAGTTGGTCCCTGATAAGTGTTTAAAAACACACTTATTTGGCACTCTTTTGGATTTAAATATAAATGAAATTGAGTATATTTCTATGAATAATTGTGTAATTTTCACTTTTGTAGGCAAAAATCCCGATAAGAAGGAGAACAAGGCAAAAAGGAGAAGAAAATGACTAAAAGTGTACAACAATTGTGAAGTTGGGGACCAAGTGCACAGGTGCCGAAAGTTGGAGGATCTTGGATGCAATTTTATGAAAGGCATAATTGATATAAAAGTCAAAATCGAAGGACCAAAATGTCACTTATCAAAGTTGAGGGACTAACTATGCAAATTATCCTGAGGACCTCCTGCGCAATTTGTGATTTCATCAAAAGTGCACACCCGCGCACTTCACTTCTGGAATGGTGCGCACCTGTGCACTTTTAGTGCGCACCTTTGCACCTGTGCGTTAAAAATTCACGAAAATCAGAAATTTTGTGGGTATTTTGGGCTTTTCTTTGTGCTCGATTTTTGGAGTATTTAAAGAGCAAATCTCATGACTAGGCCCTAGGAGAGAGTTTGTAGAGAGTCTTTAGGTAGAGTTTGAGAGTTTTTCTTTCTTTTCTTCTTCTTCTTCCATTTTCCTTTCTTTTCTTTCTCTTCTTTCTTTCTTCCTTCATTTTCTCTTCTTTTCTTTTTCTTTTCATTTTTTCTTGGGATTTTGGAGATTAAATCAAAGAGCACAAGGAGATTCAATCAAAGATTTGGAGAAATATTTGGGAAAATCAAAGCCAAACTTCAAAAAAGGGGTTTTACCTATACTTTGTATTTTCTCATTTATTTTACCATTTTTGTAATGAATGTTATGCATATTCTCCTTTATTATCAAATGTATAAAATGGGCTAATTGATTGTGTTGGGATTTGTGGAATTAGTTGACCTAGCCTTGATTAATTTCTATTTTTGCCCTTTGATTATAAGTTGCTTATTTTCATGTGTTTCTACTATTGTTTTCCATGCATTTTCATTTATGTGCCCAATAGATGATTGTGTTTAGTGATTTGTACATCGTTCGAGAGAAGATTGTACATTTTAGACCAAATAGTAGGAACCCTATGTTTGTGTAATGGATAGAGATATACCAGTAGCCCTAGGTGACCCAATGAGCTATTTTCACAATGATTGAATACGATTGTTTGGTTGTAATCGACATAGAGATATAGTAGGTTAAATCAATCAATTAGGGTTAATTTCACTCGAGAGAGGTAATTAACTAAAATTGGAAGATCGGGTCTAACATAGGAATTAAGTAATGCGTTAATTGGTTTATAGAGAAATTAATTAGGCGATGGTTAAGCGAAACCACGAATCTCAACCACGTTCTTTCTCCGAAATTTTCAAGTATTTGTGTTTTTCTTATTTTGTAGATTTTTAATTTATTTACCGCTTTCCAAATCTCATGTTTAATTGTGTGTGTTTCATTTGATTGTTAGAATTAAATTGATTAAAGTCGTGTAATCTAAAGTAACATTACTCGAGGGATCGACAATCCGGACTCAAAAAGTCCACTTTATTACTTGTACGCGACCCGTGCACTTGCGATATATTTTTAACCGAACAGTCCCAAAACATTTTGTAATTTGTTCACATATGGTTCCAAACTTTTTTACTGTTGGTGTGGAATTGGTCCCAAACGTTTTGTAATTTGTGCAAAAATGGTCCTAAATTATAGAAAATGTTGCACTTGTATGCAACTTAATTTTTTACACCTGTCTTGATTTTCATATCTTAAGTGCACCTTTTAGGCATATATAATCAATCGATCCAATCAAAGATGGAACATCTCTACAATTAGAATGCAGTAAGTGATGAAAACAACACATTCAATATACAACCACAACACCAATTGCATGAGTTCATCATCATAAAAAAACACATAATTAAGATCATAATTACAAAAAGTTTCCAACAATTTTGAAAGAGAAGAATTCGTGACACACAAATGACAAAGATCTATTCTACATTTCATTCGAATCACAGGCTGTAAGTGCTTTATATGTTCTTTTCGTTGAGTCCCTCATCAATCTCTTTCTTCCAGTGTTGGATAAAATGTCACACTTAGTCTACTTCCTAAAGTGTGATCTTGTCTACTGACCAACTAACTTTAGTTCAAGCCATCTGTGCGCAATGGGATCCATTTTTTTGAACTAATCCATTTCTTTCTTCCACACCACAACACTTGCAACTCTCACTGCATTCCACAATGCGTGCTTTAAGGCAATCCCTTTGTGTGATCTTGAAATTGTTATACAAATGTTGAACACAAGTTTTACGTTCATCATTTGGAAACAACCGGCTGATCAACTGCACATGTCGTTTTTGCTTATCCAACATAAATGTCCAATGATATGAATTATGCATTCTCAAGTCATCCCACACTGCATCAAAAACCACGACCAATTCTCCCCGTTTTCAACATCCACCACCACATATGGAATCAGGAACATTGTATTGTTCACTTCGATCCCCACCACTACCAACAATTGTCCATCATACTTACTATTTAAAAACACCTGTCAAGTCTTATCATGTTTTGACAGCCTCCTAAAATCACTCTCTACAAACAGCTAAACATTA